TGTATTGTTTTTTGTTTTTTTACTTTTGCTGTTTTCTCTGTGTGTTAATGTATTTCTGCCTGGTTTCCTCCGTGCAGCGTGTGAGGGTACGTACTGAAGACAGACATGTCTGTGTTTGAACCCACCTTGTTTTGTCCTGGATGGGATCACTCCGCAGCTCCTCTGGGAGGTTTTACTGTCGCATGTTGAAAGCAACTAGCCGCATGTGTTCCTGATGTCTCACCACCGTGTTCACGTCATCATCTCCACCTGTTTCCGTGACGCACCTTTCCGACCCCGTCCGAGCCACGTTGTACCATCGCTGACCTCGTCTCATTTTTCCAGGTTGTGCTTCGACCTCAGAGCAACTGCCAGTCCGGGCGACAGTTCGCCCTGCGCATCTTCAGCAAAGTGCGCCCCCCGGTGGGAGGAATCTCCGTGAAGGAACACTTTGAGGTCAGAATCGCGTCATGCTGCTGCTGCTGCTGCTGCTGCTGCTGCTGCTGCTGAAGCACATTTTACTGCAGTTTTGCTTTGATTGAGCCTCTCTGCTGTGATCAGGTGAACGTGGTGCCGCTCACCATCCAGCTCATGTACCAGTTCTTCAAACGGATGATGGGCTTTTTCTTCCCGGGCCGAAACGTTGAAGAGGAAGACGTCACAGATGAGGAAGACAAGTCCAGAATGGTCACTACCGGTACGTCGTTTTGTGATGAAGGCCGTTTTTATCTCTGTACAGAGTACGGCTAGTTGAAATTCTTGAAAATGCCTGAATTTTAAGATTTGGAAAGAGCTTGATTCATGTCTCAAGACCTTGAAAGTGCTTGATGTTCAGAACGGCATAGTTTTGTAATAAAGTGCAATCTAACGTTTGATTAAAAGCCTAAGTCAGAAAATGAGGTAAAGCCAGATATTTTCATCTACCTAATTAAAAGACACATTTTTTCTGATGATTAATATTTTTTGAAGGGCAGTTTTGTTTACAGACTTTATGATCCATTTTATTCATGGTTTCGGTTTTAAGTTGTTTTAATTTTCGTTATGTTTTTAGTTGTCGTTTTATTTCGGATACTTAAGATATCTTCCATTTTGTTTTCTTTACGAAATGAAAGTTTATTGATGTTTGAGAACGTGAACTTGCACATACATGCCATTATCTATACATTACTTGAAAATGCTCTCAAAACCACAATATTATCATTAATCGTGATAATTATTAGGACGATTTATTGTCCAGCAAACATGATCCTAACTGTGTGGATCCTGCAGCAGACCGATCAATACCAGCTGCTATTTTCTCCATACGCAGTGTTGAATTACTCGTGTGTTTTTGAGAACTGTGGTCTCATGAGTGTGTGTGTGTGTGTGTGAGAGAGTGGCTCTGTGGTGGTGTTAGGTGTAGCCTGCAGTGTCAGGCAGAGGGCATGGTGCTGACACTTACATGGTTTGTGTTTGTGTGTGTGTCGCAGCTATTCCAGTCAAACCCCGGCCGCTGTCGGAGGACACCATGGGCGCTATGGGCCCCAGTAAGAGCATCACCCAGGGATTGAACCGCACGGCAGGGGTCAGGAGGTCATTCAGGAAGCCTCCAGAGGTGGGGAGTCGATTCTGAACTGAAGCTGTTCAGGAAGGAGAGAAAAAGACAAACTGGTGTGTGTTTTCTCCACTCAGCATCCTGTGGATGACATCGATAAGATGAAGGAGAGAGCTGCTATGAACAATTCTTTCATCTACATCAAGATTCCCCAAGTGCCTCTGTGTGTCAGCTACAAGGTGGGTTTCACCTTTAACACTAAATTCACCACAAACTTCTTACATCAATCAGTTTATTTTATTTTATTTTTTACAAGATTTGGTCAAATTAATCACGCCAATGCTCTGAGTAATCATTATGCTTAACTTCATAAGCTGGAAATGTAAAAATGGATATTTCCGCCCCCCCCAAAAAAAGAAAATAAAATGTTTTCTTGTCTCAAAGCAGATATGAGTTTTCCAGGTTCTCGTGTTCAGGAAGGTTTAAAGGAAGTCATTTTGTTACAAATGTAGTTTAGCACATTTCAGCAGCTCAAAGTGCTTTACATCGTGAAAATATATCAAAAAAATAAATAACATTATAGAGTCAATGGTAGTAAAAACCCAATAACAGACATTGTTAAAATCATCGTTCCACATCAAATATCAATGCTCCAATTATTATGGTGCGAAAGCAACTCTAACCAGCTGGGTTTTTAATCTGTAATTTTCTAAGTGGAGACGGAAACAACAATTTTTGTAAAAAATAAATACATTTGTTTTAATTTGAATCAAATTTTAGTCCGTTTGTTGTTGACTAGTAGCAACTAGAGAGAAAATGTACCAGATTGAATCCAATAGCAGCATTATTCATAGAACAGATCTGCGAGCTGCTTCTCAAAAGTCCAACATAGTTAATGAGATTAGTACCGTGCATGCTTCAGTAAATGTAGGAAGTTGCAATAATGCAAATTCACAAGTTTTCCACGGCCTTACCATCTTCCTCGCAACTTTTCGTGAAAATCTGACCAATCAGATTTTGAGATTTTCTTAGTGCACAACAGTATCAGTTTGGATGCTGACCTGTTGTCACTAGATTCCTCCATCCACAACGCCAACATCTAAACCAATGACTGCAGGTTTTATCCCCCTTTTGCCTTTTCATTTTCATTTGCTCCCTTTCAAAGTTTCTCCTTAATTTTTTATGTCCAAATGTTTTGTGTGTGTTTTTTTTTCCCTCAGGGAGAGAAGAGCAGTGTGGACTGGAAGGACCTGAACCTGGTTCTTCCGTGTTTGGAGTACCACAACAACACGTGGACGTGGCTGGACTTCGCCATGGCTGTGAAACGGGACAGCCGGAAGGCGCTTGTAGCGCAGGTGTGAACACTTCCAAAAAATATTCACACCCTGTCTTCAACATTACGATCACAAACCTTAGTGTATTTTATTTGTTACTTTCTGCCAGTCTAGAACATAAAATGCTAAAATAGTTATAATGTTGAAGGAAAATCAAACATTTTTGAATTTTACAAATTCAAATATATATATAAAAAAGTTAAATTGTTAGGATTTTTTTCTTTCTTTCTTATTTAAATTTTTTTAAAAGGTCCATGTTTGTTTGTTTTTGCTGCTTATCGTTCTTCATAAACGGCTCCATGTTGCTGCCCAGATGATAAAGGAGAAGCTACGGCTGAAGCCGGCCTCCGTGGCGGACCTGCGCGGGAAGGCGATCGACGGGAAGGCGGACAACAACCAGCAGCAGCAGGAGGAAGACGAGAAGGCCCGGCTCCTCATCGGCCTCAGCACCGCGGACAAAAGCTCCAGCAAGAAGAGCATCTTCAGCCGACGCAAGTGAAAAACGAAAAAAGAAAGGAAAAAAAAACACTCCTCACTGACATAGCTCCCTCCGAACACCCGAACGTCACTCCAGCTTGTGGAACCACGTTGGAAGAACGAGCGAAGCTTCTCCTGTAGTTTCACTGCATCACATGAGCCTGCTGAACTTGTTTTCGAAGGATCTCCATGGATATCTGGATGTCACAATGACCAAATGTGTGCTCTCATGTTTTTTTGTTTTTCTTTAGTTTATCTGTGTGCCAATTATAGCATTTCATACACTGGGCAGCTCTGATTTACAAAAGCATTTAACTGACAGAGCTTGGAAATAAATTCAGGAGCGGTAAATTGGTAAAGCGAGAAAATTTAAAACTTATCTCGTTAAAATGAATACTTTCTCGTTAAAATGAAAGTTTGTCATTGTAATGACACAAGTTTGATGTGTTATAACAAGAAACCTCATCTTAATAAACTCGTTTTAGCGAGTTTGCATTGAGTTATAGCATTCTCGTTTTAATGAGAAACTTTTCATTATGAGAAATGTTCGTTAAGAATCTTTTAACGAGAAGCTTCGTCGCCATCACAAGAAAGTGTAACAAGAAACGTTCTCGTTTTAATGAGAAACTCTTAAGAGAATCGTTCTTATTAGCATCTCGTTACGTTCATGTTTTAACGAGATATTTTCTTGTTCTCACAAGATACATTCTCGTTTTTGCTAGTTTTGCATCTTGTTATATATAAAGAGAAACTCTCATTGTGAGAAACTCTTAACTAGAAACGTCGTGTTTTCACAATAAACTTTCTCGTTTAAACGAGAAAGTTCTCTAGAGAGTTTTGCATCTCGTTACATTGAGATAAAAATGGCTAGTTTTTATCTAGTTGAGACTTGAATAAAGGCATAAAGAGGCTCGCTATGACTTCTTCTCCCTCCTGCTTCCTCTAGACAACATCTAAAAATCCCAAGAGGTTTTGCTGTTTTGCCATTACAACTTTTCTTGTTTTGTTTTATACATATATATATATATATATCGCTAAAACGAGATGCTGCTCCTGAATTTCTCTCCCACCTCCGTCAGACTAATGACCCGGATGTAATAAGTATTTTATTGCATTGAAAGTAGCGAGGCAGATTCCTGCTCCTCTCCTGCTGGCTCAGGAACACCGCTGCAGATCCAACACACACACACACACACACACACACAACACTTTAACTACTAACAGCTGGGATTCCATTCATTTCATGCTAAATCTAAATTTATCAGTGTATGTTTTACCACATATGGAAGAAGTTGATCTGGGCTGCATGACTGTCGCTGACATGAAGGCCGACATGTTTTCGATTTTTATTGCATCACTCAGCCTGCTGTTTTACTTTAACTTTACCTCAGTGCAATTTATCAAGAAGAAATAAAATATCTTCGAGTACTTGATGGTTATGTTGAAAAGGAAAAAAAAAGTGCGTCTTCTGTAATTCTAACACTAAAGCACTTTTCATGCAAAGTATTTGATATTTTTGTAACCACGGTTGTTCTGTCACTTGTCTTGAACGTGTCGATTAAAGAGTAACGCAAAAGCGGCTGAGCTCTCTTCAGTCCCGCCGGCTCCTTTTGTTTACATCTCGGTTAAAGTCGCTCGGCTCTCTGCGGGCTGATCGATCATCGATCTGACGGCTTCAACTGGAGCGGAATCTCCCCGCAAATCAGGCTGGAGACGCGTCACATCCATCCATCCATCCATCCGCGGGACGCAGCTCCAGTCACACAGACACGTGGATTTACGAGATCAAAACACGAAGACTGCGGCTTTTGTTGTTGCTTTTCTGCGTTTTAACTCACTTTTTTTGTGAGTGAAAGTCTTGAGGATGCGATGGGATGCGAAGTCAGTAAAAACAGGAAGGTGAGTGAGTGATGCAGATGCGTTCGCGTTGGAGGTGGTTACGTATTTTTATGCAGAGTTCGTGCAGTGATTCTTGTGTAACTAGAAGTGAAACGTGTTTTCTTTACTCGGCAACAACAACAAAAAATAAAACAAATAAATCTAGGTCCAGTTTTTACTTTGCTCCACAAGTGGACATTGATGGAAGTCAAAAATAGATTATAGATTGGATAAGTGCTTACTGACCTTCATTCTGATCATTCCACGCGCGGTTTTGTCGCAGACGTGGCTCGACCCTTCATGGTTATGTGGAAAATAAAATGTAAATAGAATTGATGCTGTTCTTTAAAAGTATTTGCCCACTTACACTTTTTTTTCTTTTGCGCATATGAAAACAAAAAACAGCTTTGAAATAATTTATTAAAGGGAGAGGACTGACCAAATTCTCTCCTTCTATAAGAAAATATAGAGCGCATATTAAATACGTTCTACATTTTTTAAAACGTAATATTGCTTGAAAAAAATGTTACGTAACCTTTATGACCAAATGAAGTAGGCATGAAAATACCGAACAACATTGACAACTGTCGAATCTTAAGAAGAGCAGGCCAGAATGACCAAACAGTGCCGTGAAGAATCAGTAAATCATTTTTGAGTCAAAGCCATAACAGACAAGGATAATTAGATAATTAAGCCCAAATAGATGATTTTGTTTAATTTACAAATTCAATAAATAATCTCAGAAATTCGATCTGGACAAGTTTGTAGTTATGACATGGCAAATTAAGAATTCTGTTGGTGATATTCCACCACTGACGAAAGCGATGTGATTTTTGGTTTTCATCAGATAGAGGATCCACCAGCTCGACGTCGCTTCAGTCATGGCTTCCTATCAAACGTCCGGGTCTCCATCGCTCGCAGACTCGGACACTCTGCTGTATTTTCTCAGCCTGTGGGAGTGAACCGAGAGCCGCTTCCTCCAAGTGACGGGGAAGGAATGCTTGAGAAAGAGAAACCTCCTCCAGCCCTCATTTCGCTCTTCCTGCCAGAGTTTCCACAACTTAACATTCCATCAGAGGACTGTTTTCAGGTGGGGAGTTGGTATTTAAACCAAACTAGCTGGTGTGGGAAAGTGACCTCAACTGTTCTGCTTTCAGGTTCTCGATGTCATCGCTAAAGGCTCGCTTGGACCCGTCCTGAAAGTCAGGGATGTTCACCAGGAGAAGGTTTGGGCTGCTAAGGTTTGTTGAGATGTAACTCCAAAAGAGGAAAGTGTGTTTGAGACAAGTCAGAACGCTTTACAGGAAAAACAAAGGAGAAAGAAAATGACATTAAATTATGAAATACATTAGGATGGTAAAATTAGGTATCACAAAAAAAAACTTTAAAATACAACCTTAAAAGAATAGGTAAGAAATTATAAAAGAAATGTATATATATGAAAATGTGGTAGTCAAAAAATATTTTCAGTTATATATATTTTTTTTAAAAAGACAGTAGTTTCTGCACATCTCAGATGTCTGTGAAGGTGATTTCAAAGTTGAAGGGGTCAGAAAATAATGACTTTTGTCTTTTCTGCTCGAGGCTAAAGAAAATTCGGACTCATTTTTGGATAATTTGAACAAAATGAATCAATGGTTGTAATGTACTACGGCCATGTGGTGACACATGCATATATGTTCTTGTACTCAGAGCTTTGGGGGGCATCAGATAGATTATGAATGAAAGTGGGCCAAAAATGGAGCCTTGAGGAACCCCACAAGTGATTGTAGTTTTTATTTATTTATTTATTTATTTATTTATTTATTTATTTATTTATTTATTTTTAAGCAGTCCCACTGGGTCAGCTCTGAAAGGTGTTGGCACACAGCACCAGACAATCCCACCAGAGATTCAGTAAAACCAAGGCAGAAGTTTTTTATGCATTAATTTGAAATCAATACAATATAAAGCGCTAATTTCTCAAGTTATATTGCTTTTAATAATGGACATTTGTTGTCACATAGGTTCTACCAAAGTCAGAGATCTTAAAACAGGGAGTGCTGGAGCAAACGAAAGACGAAGTTAGAATTCAGGTAATTTTTGTCAATTTTTCAGAAAAGTAATGGCTCTCAAAAATTATACTAACCTTATTAATTGTTATAAATCAGAGATTTTTTTTAAGGTTTAAAGGAGGGATGTATTGTTTTGCATTTAATCATAACCTTATTAATTGTATAAAACAAAGCCAGTTTTAATACTACTTCCACATTTAGCTGTTAGTCTCATTTGTCCACTTCCTGTTTGTGTGTCTCTGCTTTGCAGAGGCAGCTCAGACATCCGTTTATGCACAGTGTGCAGGACTGCTGGCAGACACAGCACCACCTCTTCATCAGTGAGTCAAAGCTGTAAACATTCCTACTACATCCAAATCCCAGCCCTCCGTTTTAAGGAAGTGCTCTGAGATCCAGTAACAGCTAGAGTAACAAAATTAGACATTTGACAGAAAACAACAACAAAAATATCTAGAATGTGACCAAATGTGGAAAACATTCATGTCAGGTTCATGACTGTTTTTGACCTTTCACCTTCCTCACCAACATTAGGTGGGGAAAAAAAAGCTAATTTTCTGTGGTTTCCCTTGCAATTTTCTAATTTCACATATTAATTCAGCCGCCTGTGCTGACCTGATTGAACTCATCAGCGGGGACCTAATAAGTATCTGTGCTAATCTGTGTTATCCCCCTGCAGTGTTCGAATACTGCAGCGCTGGAGACTTGTACACGTACTGGTTACTGAAGGGCCAGTTTGACCAGGACCAGGTTCGACTCCTTGCTGCAGAGCTGGGCAGTGCCTTGGGTATCTATGCATATGTGTGTGTGTGTGTGTGTGTGGGCATGCATGCGTGCGTGTGTGTTCAACAATGTTCATCAGAACTCATTTTTATTCTTGTGTGAAGCTTACTGGATTCATTTCTCTTTTCCAGGTTTCCTACATGATCTGGGAATCGTCCATAGAGACGTAAAGGTACGATTTTACTTGTACAGTGTAGTTTATTGTTCTTGGGTATAATCTGAGTTATGTTCATCATTTTCTCCATTATTTTTCAGATGGAAAACATTTTGTTGAGTGATCAAGGTAAGACACGTCTCTTTTTATACATGTAGTCCACATGTAGCTGGATATCTGGGGAAACAAATACATTTTTATGCGTTTTTTGGCCCTTAATCCACATGAAAACTTTGTTTAATATCACCACAAATGCTTATTTAAGCACACAAATACAAATTGGAAAATGAAGATTTAGTGCTTCATGCATTAGAGTCTGTGACAAATAATCCAACATATCCACAAACTTGATTTGAAACGATTCCGTCGCCATTCTCGTGTTTTAAAAACTTTATATTATAATAAACTATTTTAAAGTAGTTCAGCCTACATATCTATCCATACAAATTAACCTCCTGGTGCCATGCTTAATTCCTAACAGGAAGTTGTGGTTGTTTTGAAGCAATCTGATTGGTTGACAGGTTTTAGCTTTGCACCACACTGCCCCCTATGGGTTTGGAATGTTTAAAACGACACTCAGGATGGATTTGTGCGGGTTTGTCTGGATGAAAACTTTTCTGAAACCGATCCCGTCTGCAATATTATCGTTTTAAAAATATTATGTGGTGGAGATATTCTCTTTTAAAAAGACCCAGCAACATGTGTACAATGCGTCAGACGAACCCTAAACATAAAGCAATGAGGAAATAGAAGGAAAACATTAGCAAAATGACCAGAGATGCTCAGATCAAAAACTCATTGTCAATCAGTCACTAAACTGGATAGAAAAATCAAAGGTTACTGCAGATATTGGCCAAAAGTTGCTGTGTTTTGTCTTGATTCAGGTCACCTCCGTCTGTCTGATTTTGGCCTGTCGCGCCAACTGAATCGAAGTGGACGAGCGTTCACCGTATGCGGAACCATTCAGTATATGGGTGAGCTCTCCTACGCTTCTTAAGAGAACGTTCCTGCTGTTTTCCAACTCTTTTTAGTACATGTTGGCTTTCCTTTTGACTCTGTGACCGAGTGAAAGCCCCCGTCTTCATCATCAGTTTCTTTGCCGCTCTGGATTCAATTTGACCCGGTTAGAAAACCGAAACATTTGTGACGTTTTGCCTTTGGGATTTATTAGAACTTCTTTCTGTCCTTTGAGTCATGCTCATTTTGTTTTTTTCAAACAGCGCCTGAGGTTTTGAGTGGGGGTCCGTACAGCCACGCTGCAGACTGGTGGTCTCTTGGGGTTTTGTTATTCTCGCTGGTTACAGGAGAGGTAACTTTCTTTTGATTCACTCATAACAAACGGGGCATTTTATTGTTTTTGTTTTGCCTGTTTTTGTTTTCTCCTTTTGCAGTTTCCACTCGCAGCGGAGTCGAACCACATCAATATGTTGAAGAAGGTCAGAGACTGCTCTTATGTTCCACCAAAGACCCTCAGCTCTGACCTCATCCTACTGCTCAGTGAGGTCAGTCGGCTTCAAAAACATCCTACATTCACCTCTGGGCCAGAAAATCTCACACCTAAGTCTCTTTCTTTTCCTTTCCTCTCCTTGCCGCTTCAGCTTTTGTGCAAGAGTCCAGCGAGCCGCCTCCGTGACCTGCAGCGCTTCAAGACGCAGGCCTTCTTCAGGGGCGCCTCGTTCGACTCGTACATCCTCCAGAAAACACCGGTAAAATTCCTCCTGGAGCTCAGAAGCCATCCTGACTGGGCAGCCGTGTCGAGGAGAGGCTCTGTGGCGGACTGGTTTGAGAACTTTGACTTTAATAACACCTTGAGCGCTCCTTTAACTCTCACTGAACTGTCTCCTGCTTCGCCGGGCGAGGACGTGGCGTTGACTGCAGAGCAGGACTAGAAACCATGACGACACAATTCACTACGCGTATGACGAACATCCTCATTTTTTAACATGTTTTGCCTGTCAGTCTTTTTTCTTTAAAACTACATATTTACAGATATGTTGCAAATTTTTTGCATTTTGTACCTTTGTGTTTCTGGATGCGTTTGTATTAAACTTTATATGCTTGAAGCTGTTTTAAGCATTTTATTAAAAGGCTAGAAGAGGCTTTTGTAACTTACAGAATATTTTGTAAAAACAAGTTTTTTGATCTTTCTATCATGTTACAATGTTATTCCCTCATTCAAAACATACCTGGAGTATTCCTTGATTTTTTTATGCATGTTTGAGAAATCCTTAGGTTACAGAAATTGTTTTCATTAAGCCACATTAGAGGGTTTTCAAGCTTAAATGGCCTGTTTAAGGTAAACCCATAGCATAGATTTCAATCCAGACTTTGACTAGGTCACTCCAGAATATTTACTTATATTTGTTTTGCTATTATGAGATGTAGTTGCTGGTGGGCTTTGAATCATTGCCATCATAGAACAGAATTCATGGTTCTGGTTCTATCCAACTTCTGAAGAACTAAAGTATTCTAATACCATCATACTACCACCACCATGTTTGACAGTAGGTATTATGGGTATTTTTTTTTCTTTTCTTGAAATGCTGTCTTTGCTTTAGATGTAACAAAACATTCGGCTTTGAAAAAGTTAGAATATTTTCCCCACATCCTTGGGCGCCGTGGGTTCACTTGACGTTTGGTGGCCAACTTTCAGCCTCCACATGACCTACTTAAAGGATCCCTCCAAAACCCATTTAGGACATCCATAATAGGATGGAAAATGGAGCACCAGATAAAGTATCATCATTAAACGTCTTTAATTAGTTAATGCAGGAAAAAAAACCCTAAGGTTCCCACGGGAGATAACCGAGTATAATTGCTGAACTTCGCAGAGCCGTGCCTCTATTTCAGAACCGCTGAATGGGAGAGCGTCGGCTCCTCCGTGACACTGAATTCCCTCTCAGGCCTTTGTCTTAGACAGGTCCGCCAAGTCTGTGTTGTGGCTGTGCGGGTGGCACGCAGTCCAGTGACCCACATCTGCCTTCGACGGCACACTGACCCAAAATAGAGGAGAGAGGAGTCCCCCGGAAAAGACGGATGAGTCGACTCACCTGAGGGTTGGTAAATAGCGCCGTTACGTAACTGAGCACGCGACGGAAGCAGGTTTATTAACTAAGGAAGTAAACGGTTTGGGCTCATGGACAGGGGGTGGAACATTTAAGCAAAATCACTGATCACACAATTACCGTTATTATCTTCCTGTAGCAGTATGCGTCACTTTTCAAGTTTAACTTTCCAATCCAGGAACGTCTAATTACTAACCTCCGACTTTCTGTTTCCCTGGAGTATAACTGTGACACAGCAGGGGCCAATTTCAGTTAACCCCTGACTGTTAAGCTGAAGAGAGATGCCAGGAAAAAATATGTTAGGTCTTATGATTATACATTTAAATGTGTGCTACACTATGCTGGAATTTTATCTAAAATTTGGTTAGGTGAAACTATGACTGAAGTTTATGTACAACAATAGAGATACACCAATCTGATATTAATATCTGTATCTTTAAAGCCTTGTTAACACAGGAGTGACCAAAACCTGGAATTAACCATTACTATACGATCTCCTACTGAACAACTCTAAGGCTCATAATCAAAGTGAGAGGACATATAGCCCTGATAATTTGGTACTCACACAAACCCTCTGAGATTCTGAGGGTGTGAGTACCAAATTATCAGGAGACCAGAAACTTTCCTTTGGGCATTTTTTTTTTTTTACTAATTAAGATAAAAATAAAACCTCTCAGGGGAGAGGTTAAATAAAGCTGCAACAGGGGCAGAGATTATGGATATATGATGTAGGTTTTGTAATGTAGCCTGAGTCCTAATGGCTGCTGTAGGTATAAGTATGTAGTGATAGGAACTGGTATTTGGGGAGAAAAAGAAGGATTCCTCTCACTAAAAGCTGCTTGTGATTTTCAGATTTAGGTTTGTTTCTGCAATTTTCTTTAAGAGATGTAGGAATTGTTTCACTTGTGTAAAAAGAAGTCGGAAATGGATTTGAAAATGTTGGAAAATTGTACTAACTAGACTAATGATTCATCAAAATTTCTAACTTATGTAGGGCAGAGGTGGGAGTGTAAGCTCCGCCCAGGGGTGTATTCTTGTAAGGTGTGACACACTTTGAATTGGATACAAACCGGAGCTGACAGAGAGACACTATCACTGCTCATCACCTCATCAGAGGAGGTAAGATGCTTTATCTCTCCTACCTTTTGATAGCATGATATTTGGCTTACTGTGTTTGCAGTCTGGTAATAGATTTTACCTAAACTGTTTTTTGTGCATGGAGAACATTTTTTAAACCTTCATTCCAGCTTTTATTAGCATCAGAAATATTTATTTGAGCATTCTACATGAACGTTCATTAATTTTATGCATCTTTTCCGTCAAGTTTAAAATATGAATGATCACTAAGTTTAAAAAAAAAATAAAAAAAATTAAATGATACAAAATATTTGTTTTGTTTTTTACTTTGAAACACAAACATGAAAAAAATATTTTGTATAGTTTAATTTTCCTTTTTTATTTTTATTTTAGACGTATTTTAGAATTATTGACGTCTTACTGAAAAGTTACATGCAAGTCAAGTCAGTTTTTGTCTTATTTCAAATGTACTAAGATATTTTTGTACCGTTTAATTTTCCTTGATTTTTGTTATTTTTATTTCAGACTTAGTGACCATTCATATTTTAAATTGGATGGAAAAGACGCATAAAATTAATGAACGTACATGTAAATGTCCAAATAAATATTTTTGATGCTAATAAAAGCTAGAACAATATTTTTAGTCTAGTTACGAGTAAGATTTTTATGTTTTTTGCAGTGATAAACATAAAACATTAGATAGAATCAGGAGCGCAAATATGTACTGTCTGATGTGTATGGAGAGACATTATAGATGCCCCTTCTCCCAGCCTGTCTTATTTATCTACACATTCACAAACAGTTGCTAAATGCTGAAAATGCTGGAATTTTTTTTTTCCACCATTATTTTTGCACCGCCTTTAGCAGCGCCCACTTTTTGCACCTCTGGATAGAATTAAATTTCTACATAGGAAAGGCTCCAGCTAAGAATAGATTTTTTTTTTCCTTCTTGTAAATATACAACTGTCTTTGCTTTGCCCAATGCCATGGCAACCACCTTTCTCCTGCCGCCAGCAAGCGGATCATCAGAAGGTCAACTCTTCCACCAGTCCCAGGATGACGCACCAGTTCCCAGCTCTCTCCGAGGCCCAGAAGAGGGAGCTCCATGAGACGGCTCTACGCATAGTTTCTCCAGGGAAGGGCATCCTGGCTGCAGATGAGTCTGTGGGTCTGTAGAACTCTGGCTTCCCTCTTACCTCTGATTCCTGGTTAAAACCACCATGTCCAAACTCCAAAGGGATGATGCTGATGGATAAATCTAAACGTTTTGTCTGCAGGCAGCATGGCCAAGCGGCTGGCCCAGGTTGGGGTGGAGAACACAGAGGAAAACCGCAGGCAGTTCCGTCAGATCCTCTTCAGTGCGGATGATCGCATCAACAGCTGCATTGGAGGAGTCATCTTCTTCCATGAGACCCTCTACCAGCACTCTGATAATGGCGTTCCCTTTGTGAAAATGATCAGGGACAGGGGGATCCTGGTTGGGGTCAAGGTGTGTCCGCTTTCCAGTTGAACGCGCAGCTCGATGCAGGTCAGAACTAATCCAAAGTTTCTTGTCTCGATAGGTTGACAAAGGTGTCGTTCCTCTGGCGGGAACATGCGGGGAAACCACCACGCAAGGTCAGACCAGCTCATCTTTATGGATCGGCTCTATTTTTTTATTTTTTTTTTTAGGATTTGCAGCTCAGCTTTAAACCTTTCTCTGCAGGTCTGGATGGTTTGGCGGAGCGCTGTGCGCAGTATAAAAAGGATGGAGCTGTGTTTGCAAAGTGGCGTTGCGTGCTCAAAATCAGTGACTCCAATCCATCAAAACTGGCAATCACAGAAAATGCAAATGTTCTTGCGCGCTGCTCGAGCATCTGCCAGCAGGTTAGAGGGATTGGTAGTATGCACGTCATTTATGGGCTGATACACCTGTGTAGATTGATTGAGAATCTTTGATGTTTTGGGTAGAATGGCATTGTGCCCGTCATTGAGCCAGAGATTTTACCTGATGGTGATCACGACCTGAAACGGTGCCAGTACGTCACAGAGAAGGTGAGGTTTTTGTATTTTTAATGCCAGGAAGTCCGGGGACACTTAAAAAGACTTAAATGTATGTATCCAAAATTAAAGTTTGAAATTAACTTAAAAAAATGGCAAGTTGGTCTTAAACACATCATATATACAGTAGGTCTTAAATTTTGTTGTGGCAGGACCACATAATCTGGTACATTCTATAGAGAATATATATTTATAACAAAAATATTGTTCTTTTATATATGCCAAAACGTGAATGGAGAAAACCCTCCTGTGGTCTTAGTGCAATGCTTAGGAGGAGCGTGGCAAATGTCACAGTCTGACAATGGAAAGAGGCAGCGTGTCAGACCATCAGCTCCCGAAACCACACAAAAAAAACTCATAAAGTGCATGCCATGGTGTTCATTGTGACCCGACAGACCACACACAAGGTCAAAAGCTTTTTTCCTCAGACAGCTGAAGCGTTAAAAGAGCCCCAGGAATGCTGGGAAAAAAAAGAACTTGGACTTGGAATTATTTAAGACTTTAGCAAAAAAAAAAAACAAAAAAAAAAACATTCAGGTCAAACCTTTTGTGTGCTGCAGGTCCTGGCTGCAGTGTACAAAGCCATGTCAGACCACCATGTCTATCTGGAAGGCTCTCTGCTCAAACCCAACATGGTCACTCCTGGACACAGCTGCCCCACCAAGTACAGCCCAGAGGAGGTGGCAATGGCATCTGTCACCGCCATGCGCCGCACCGTTCCCCCGGCCGTACCGGGTCAGTCACACCACACCCACTGCCGACCAGAAACACTCAGACTCTTTTGAAAACACGCCATTGTACCCCTGGTTTTATGTAAAATCCCCGTTTGCAAAGAACTGTATTTACCTAACAGAAAGACACCAAACGCTGATGGTTTACTCCCTGCAGGGATTTGCTTCCTGTCTGGAGGTCAGAGTGAAGAAGAGGCCTCTGTCCACCTGAACGCCATCAACAACTGCCCTCTGGCCAAGCCCTGGGTCCTGACGTTCTCGTTCGGCCGGGCCCTGCAGGCGTCGGCCCTTAGAGCCTGGAGAGGACACAAGGAGAACGAAAAAACAGCCACGGAGCAGTTTGTTAAGCGAGCAGAGGTACTTTTTCCTGATATGTACTGCACATAAAAACAACTATGATGCCAGGTTTAAGTTGCTGCCTTTTTTTGTGTCGAGTTTATTTATTTTATTCCTCTCAGGTGAACAGTTTGGCATGTCAGGGGAAATACAGCGGCGGTGATAACTACGGCGAAGCCGGCCATCGCATCTTCGGCTCCTGCCATGCTTACTGAACAAAGACATAATTTTTAAGCTTTATGTTTTATTTATTATGCTATATCCCCAGTCAATAGTACAGTAGAGACTTAGACTAGATGAAATAGGCGATGTGTGAATATGTTGAATGAAAACAGCTGACTGTTTTATTGGGATGTTTAATGAAGACAATCAGGAATGTAATCAGGACTTCTCATGTCTGAAGGAAATGTCTACTTCCTCTGCATAATGTGTGTGTAAAGTAATGCAGTGCTCAAACAGTCAATTCTTTAATCCTATGAGAATATTGACCTGATAGCACGGACTACAGTTTACATCAAATGGTGTCAGTTGCTAATTATGTGATCAAACGGATGAATCTCTTCATCCCCTTGTCTGAAAATCTCTATTGCTTCTCTGAGTTGAATGAACCTGCTTTGCTTAGCGTTTAGCACTGGTTGTTCAGAGGTAAAAACAATAACGCCTGGCATTAGCTTTGAGCTAACGAGCCCCTGCGCTCCCTGCTGACCTCTGAATGCATCAGGCTCTCAGTCATAGGAATATGACTCTGTACAATAAACATCAAATGCAATAAAAATGCTTGTCGGTTGAAGTCTGATTTGTTTATGGAATGGCACGTTTTTTGTTGTGAAAGAATAACTCGGTATAATAAGAACGTATTAAACAGGATAGTATGAGATTTAAATAAATTACATTTGTGACATAAATTACATTTGTGAACAGGGGCAGTACTAACCTGTTTGGTGCCCTGAGCAAACAACACACTCAGTCCCCCCCTGCAGGATTTGGGGGTGTCTAACTTAAGGAGAGAAGCAATTAAGGCAGTGAGATAATTTACCACAGTGTCATCAGAGTAAGGTAATACTGGTTATAACAGCATTAGTAATATATATTGGCCCAAATGTTCAGATAGGTGCATCCCTATTTTATCAGCAATAAAATCAATAAAAATAGGCCAATGCAACAGCAGACTAACACCACTTTCCCAACTTAATATGAAGTGATTAGTGGGCACTTATTCTGACATAGTAAGCAGCTAATGATTAACAAAGAAATGGGCCTACATATACTTCCAGTTTGTGAAATATTCAGAATAGGAATCCAAGCAACACTTCTTCTTGTAAATGTCTATTTAACATAGTCTACATGACATCACAAGATCACTGTCATTGGTATGTAAAGCAATTACTAATTTAAAACTAAACTACAATATACTATATATAAATAAATTCAAGTATATACTTATACTTTTACTTATTATATAGACTTAGTTTGATCATAAAGTTTCTCATTTAACATTTTGAAAAAAAAAATATTTTTAGTATATTTATAAATAATGCCGTTTTAATTACCTGTTTTGACTATACACTAAAATACAATTTCTGCAAAATATATTTTAATTCCGATTAAACAGTGAAGAATCCTGGCTAAATTCCTACTGGTACGGAGGAGTTTTCAGTTTGTGACAATCTTTCTTGCTGCCTGTTTGCATAACTGATCATTTGGGAGTGAGCGCCCTCTTGTGTTGAACAGGTGGAACCACAGCACTTCAGATGTGAAGTGGATTATGTGTAAATAGAGAATCTTTAAAACACAGTTAAACATTCATGATATCTTTATCCTATGTGTAAAAACACAGGAAAACAACATTTGTTAAAAGTAAAGTCACTTTTGTTAAAAGTAAAACCACCTTACTGCATCTTCTCAAGTTTGTGGAATCAGAGTTTATTGAGTTGTAAGCAGAAATGAGTTGAAAGCAACTCGAAAAGCTCAGAAAACATCAAGTTATATAAGCCATATGTTATATACTGCTAAACAGACCAGACACCTGTGGTTGTCATGTTTGAATTTAATTTAAAGAGTAAGTAGTTGTTGCATATTAAAACATGACACTACGCATTTTTGTAAAATAAATAAATTGGTACTAAATTGTCTGGACATACTAAAGAAAGAAAACATAAAAGGTTTTCAACTTTTCTCTCCAGCTTACTTGTAAAAGTTAAGATGTGTTTTTGGAAAAACACCTGAAATAAATATAATCAGACCAAAAAAAAAAAAAAGAAGCTTGAATTTACTATCTACTGAACAAATGAGGCAGAAAGGACAATCCTGTCTGATCCCTTTCAGCTTCACCCTTTGTTATCTTCTGAGATGGGTTACTATAATTACTATAGAAATCAAATGTTGTAAAACAAGTTGTATTAAATTAAGGACGTAAAAATTATGATAACATAAAAGTAAGGTCAGTAATGATGTGGTGGTTGAAGAACTACCTAACTAGCTAATTTGGGGACTTCGTATTGAACGTGGTCTGTAGGTAAGACTATATTGTTTTTCACTATTTTGTGTTAATTGTTGAATTACACTTAGTAGCTTTAATTTGTTTTGCCTTAAACAACAATAATAAAAAACATATTTAAAATATATTATTATCAATGTCAAATGCTTTCTGCAAATCTATAACATTTCCTAACACTTTCTTCTTGTCTAAACAATTTGTGATTTCTTTGGTTAACTCCATCAATGCAATTGCTGTTGACCTGTTTGCCCTAAAGCCTTATTGACTATCTATTAACAGATTCTGCTGGCCTATAAATGAAGGTCAACAACAGTATTTAATAGTTTTTTTCTAAACCCATATTATCCAAGTGTAGTATGGGTTACAGTAACATTTAGGTTCCCTTTGGGAGAAGGAAAGTATTTTTGAATTAAATTGAATGTCAAAATGCCCACAATTTTTTCTATAGTTACAGTATTTTAAAGTTTTTGAAAATCTTTCATCATTTTTCTGCTACATCACATAAAATCTGGGAAATAAAATACATCACAGTCTGCGGTAATAGTATGAAAACCTGTGAAAAAATTCAGAGAGTAAGAATGCTTGTGAGAGGTGCTGTAAGTACTGTAGAATCATCCAAGACTTCATATTTCATAAATTAGATAAATTTTTTATGACCTTTTTTATGCATTGCACACAATAAGCCAGTGACGAATTAATTATCTTTATAATTAATTATATTCTTATTCTTATTATTTTCACTTAAATTTAAATCCATCAGACCGTTGACTTTTGTGGTATTTATTTTCACAGGACTAGTTTCTATGGCGGATGTGTCAGGTCTGGCAGAAGTGTGTTTTAATGGGCGTATCACTAAAGAAGCACTGAGAAGTGATCCTCACTTTTTAAGACATTTGTCTTTTCAAGAGATATTAGGCGCGATATTAGGTTTTTCTACACATTTTTCTGATTAGTTTCTCTTTCCATATCCTTGATTTTAGAGTCACTAGGTTTTCTAGGTGTTTTTGGACGCCATAGTTTTGAAGCCTGCAAACAACCCGCCGTCCGTAGTTTTTTTTTTTTTAAAGTTAGCAGCAGCCATGTCGGGTGTTGTGCGAGGCCCCGCTGGGAACAATGATTGCCGAATTTACGTGGGGAATCTCCCGCCGGATATTCGCACCAAAGATGTGGAGGACGTGTTCTACAAGTACGGAACGATCCGAGATATCGACCTAAAGAACCGCAGAGGAGGTCCGCCGTTCGCCTTCATCGAGTTCGAAGACCCGAGGTGAGGCGCTAGCAGCAGCTAGCCGACCGAGCCGTAACCAATGCCATTGTGTTGTCAACGCGTTGATCCTGGGATCCGGCTATTTCCTGGACGTGCATTGTTCTCTTTACCAAACGTGGTTTCGCCTTCATGTGTTTTCACTTGTTCCTAAATTCACAAAGTATACACGGCAGTCCTGTCGCACCACATACTATACTCTGTTATAAATGTTGTTGAAATCGTAACACTTTTCCATACATCTACAGCCTCTCCTAATGCACATCCATACATTTAATTGCGCCATTTTGGCGGCAGTGTAATTTCTGCGCAGCCTCGTGTCAATTTCTTATATTGAATTTCATTATGTGATTTGCGGGTCTCCAACGTGGATTAAGAGACATTAACATGGCGACGACCCGTCCCAAGTATTTAGCATGCAATGCTGTCGGCATCAACGCTCTCAATGGGTTTCATGATATGTTCCTGTTTTCTAATAACAGGGACGCCGACGACGCGGTCTACGGACGTGATGGGTACGACTACGACGGCTACAGACTGCGGGTGGAGTTCCCACGGAGCGGCAGAGGCTCCAGAGGCGGGTATGGGGGCATCGGTGGAGCACCCAGGGGGAGATATGGACCTCCATCCAGGCGCTCAGAGTACCGGGTCGTTGTGTCAGGTAAATGAGCAATACGCTTTGTTGCTTATTGTCTCTTTACTCAGTAAAACACCATGTTAAGGCTTGAATAAAGTACCATTGTGACATTCTGTAACTGGTATATTAAGACCTCCCAGTGGAAAAATACGATTTTGATGAAGTAATCTTTAGTTGGGATACTATTTACAAAAGTGCTATAGTTCAAAATCCAATATAGGTATCTCACATTTTAAAAAACATAGGAAAACTAGCAAGTATAACACAGTAAGTATAATTTCTGAAAGTTTTTTTCTGTGTAAATCAATAATGCACATGGTATTGGACATCCTCATTTCCAAAAATTGTCCCTCAATACTTGAAAGTGTAAAATTAAGAGAAATACAATTTTTTTTTGCTTGTCTTGTAGCTAGTATTAAATGCCAAAAGTGCTGCTATCCAATAAATAACATTGATTTCATGGTGTTATAGTAAGATAAAGCAAAACTTAAATGCATGCAGAGGCAAACGTTTTAAATTAAGCTTTTAAAAACACTTTTTGTTCTGTGTGTTAAGTAAAACCTACTAATTTAATAATTCTTACATATATACAGTGAAATAATTAAAACGGTCAAATAAACCCTAAAGCTGAGTTTATGGTCAGAAATAAAGCCTCAACTTTTTTTTCTGACTTGAAACTACATGATTCTGACTAACACTGAATGCATCACAGGAGCCATGAAAGAGTCCTTTATCTCTCTGCTGGGAGTTGATATGTAGAAGCGATTAAAGTGATTTATGTTGTATATCTATTAGGGCTGTAGTGATACAGTAATCTTACGATACGATACACGATATTCTGTCCACGATACAATACTTATTGCGATATTCATCAGACGATACAATTCAATACACTTTTGCGATTTTCTGAAAGATTTTAGAGGGACAGAGTGATTTTGGTGACTGTTATAGAGTTGGATTGAATTAATTTAACTGAAAACTGATTAAAAGCTCCAACTACACAATTCCTGGCTCTGGTTGGACATGGACACAGACTTAAAGTCGACAGCTGGACAAAAAGAATCAAAGAAGTGGTGAGAAAACATGTTTCTTTTAATTGAAACAGTACAAACTGTAGCTTACATGGATTTATAAAGTAAATAAAGTGCACCAAGTACCCTGCTCTGAATAGTTTGACACCTTTTTAACCTTGACACTTAACATCTGAAGGTATCACTCTAAGCCTGATGACCTAATTACTCTCCCGGCGAAGCAAGCAGTGAGTGAGCAAGGTGACAGTTGGATGTTGCAATACTTGCGGATGAATATCGATTTTTTTTAGGAAAGAAAATATCGATGTATATCGCGATATCGATATTATCCTACAGCCCTAATATCTATGAAAATTGTACATATTGAGTTAATAGAGAGCAGTAACATAATATGAGATCATTTATTTATTTTAAATATTGATTTGGCTTCAATAGTGAAAACGTGTTTCTTTGTAAGGTTAAGGTCTGGTCCAATACCTTAGCTAGACTAAGTCACAAGAATTCAAACATTGTTTTTGGGAGATTTTGCATTTTCTTTTATCACAAATGTAAGCTGGACTCTATGTCAAACAATGTGCATGCGTGGGGTTTTTCCAACTTTCTGCCACAGTCCATAAATGTGACTGTTGGGAGAATTTTCTCCCCAGGTTTCCGTTGGGTATGAGTGTGTGCATGGTTGGTCCTGTGTGTCTCTGGCCTTTAAATGTGAGGCTCAAAATAATCTGTCGCAATTAGTGCTTCAAGTCTAGATGCATGTTGGCGACGGCTGCATAATTTACTGCAGATTTGTCATCCTCACTACATCAGCGTGTGCAGTATCAAATAGAGCAGCTTTACTGTAATAAATATGATGACCTGTAACTGCACTGTCACTCACTGCGTCATATGAAAAGGAGACTTTCTCTGTAGTAGGGCTGTTGTAAATGAATATTTTAGTAATCGGATCAAGTAATCGGATAAAAAAATTTGATATAATAAAATATTGGTAAATCTGGCATAACACCAGTGTTACTACCAGATATGAACGTCAGTCCAATTTTTCATATTTGAGCATCCCTAACGGTTACTTTTTTGTAGTTTAGAAAATTAACCTGTAGCAACAATGGCTCTCTTTCTAAGTTAACCAGAAGAAAAGTTATACAAAGTTATTTGTGTTGACGGAGTATTAGGACCAGGCTATGACAAGTTTTGTTTAATTACAAGAAAAAAGTCATGTTGACAGAATAAAGACACAATTTTACCAGAAGAAAATCTTGAAATTATGTTCAGACGTAAATTTTCTTTGTTTTATGTTGTTCATGTTGTAGTTCATAAAATTTACTGCTGCATGTTCCTGCTACTTTGACTATATTATAGTAGCAGTAGCACCACTTGGTGTGGTGGGGAAAAACAATCCAGATTTTCCAAAAAATTCAATCTTCAAAAACCAAAAATTAGTTTTTGATCATTGAACAGGCACCTTGTCTAGGTGCACTAGCCTCTCAAAAATATGTTTTATCACAATAAAAATATTCCAGTCTTCACTGTTGTACCTTTTCTAAGTTGGACCCTTGCGTGTCGTCCTTGTGTCCAGGTCTTCCTCAGAGCGGCAGCTGGCAGGACCTGAAGGACCACATGCGCGAGGCGGGCGACGTGTGCTACGCCGACGTTTACAGGGACGGAACCGGAGTTGTAGAGTTTGTGCGCAAAGAGGACATGACCTATGCCGTCCGAAAGCTGGACAACACCAAATTCCGCTCCCATGAGGTATGTGTACGGGGTTTTGATGATCTGTCATGGATATTGATGATTCTTTGCCGCGTCGCGGTGAGTATTGTAACGAAGTGTTCCTTTAGTCGCACGCCGACACCCAGCCCTTATCGTTGCCCGTCTGTAACTTCGGCCAGAGGCAGGAATGTTGCCTTTTCAATGTCAAGTTCTCTTGTGTCCGCCAGGGAGAGACTGCTTACATTCGTGTGAAATTAGACGGTCCCCGCAGCCCGAGTTACGGACGATCACGCTCCCGCAGCCGTGGCAGCAGAAGCCGGAGCCGCAGTCGCAGCGCCAGCCGCAGCCGCAGCAATTCCCGAGGCCGTGGCCGAGGATCTCCCCGCTACTCGCCCCGTCACAGCCGCTCTCGTTCCCGCTCTTAAACCTTTGCCGCCATCAATGGTTTATTTTTTTGTTTTGTTTNCGATAGGTTGACAAAGGTGTCGTTCCTCTGGCGGGAACATGCGGGGAAACCACCACGCAAGGTCAGACCAGCTCATCTTTATGGATCGGCTCTATTTTTTTATTTATTTATTTTTTTTTTTAGGATTTGCAGCTCAGCTTTAAACCTTTCTCTGCAGGTCTGGATGGTTTGGCGGAGCGCTGTGCGCAGTATAAAAAGGATGGAGCTGTGTTTGCAAAGTGGCGTTGCGTGCTCAAAATCAGTGACTCCAATCCATCAAAACTGGCAATCACAGAAAATGCAAATGTTCTTGCGCGCTGCTCGAGCATCTGCCAGCAGGTTAGAGGGATTGGTAGTATGCACGTCATTTATGGGCTGATACACCTGTGTAGATTGATTGAGAATCTTTGATGTTTTGGGTAGAATGGCATTGTGCCCGTCATTGAGCCAGAGATTTTACCTGATGGTGATCACGACCTGAAACGGTGCCAGTACGTCACAGAGAAGGTGAGGTTTTTGTATTTTTAATGCCAGGAAGTCCGGGGACACTTAAAAAGACTTAAATGTATGTATCCAAAATTAAAGTTTGAAATTAACTTAAAAAAATGGCAAGTTGGTCTTAAACACATCATATATACAGTAGGTCTTAAATTTTGTTGTGGCAGGACCACATAATCTGGTACATTCTATAGAGAATATATATTTATAACAAAAATATTGTTCTTTTATATATGCCAAAACGTGAATGGAGAAAACCCTCCTGTGGTCTTAGTGCAATGCTTAGGAGGAGCGTGGCAAATGTCACAGTCTGACAATGGAAAGAGGCAGCGTGTCAGACCATCAGCTCCCGAAACCACACAAAAAAAACTCATAAAGTGCATGCCATGGTGTTCATTGTGACCCGACAGACCACACACAAGGTCAAAAGCTTTTTTCCTCAGACAGCTGAAGCGTTAAAAGAGCCCCAGGAATGCTGGGAAAAAAAAGAACTTGGACTTGGAATTATTTAAGACTTTAGCAAAAAAAAAAAACAAAAAAAAAAACATTCAGGTCAAACCTTTTGTGTGCTGCAGGTCCTGGCTGCAGTGTACAAAGCCATGTCAGACCACCATGTCTATCTGGAAGGCTCTCTGCTCAAACCCAACATGGTCACTCCTGGACACAGCTGCCCCACCAAGTACAGCCCAGAGGAGGTGGCAATGGCATCTGTCACCGCCATGCGCCGCACCGTTCCCCCGGCCGTACCGGGTCAGTCACACCACACCCACTGCCGACCAGAAACACTCAGACTCTTTTGAAAACACGCCATTGTACCCCTGGTTTTATGTAAAATCCCCGTTTGCAAAGAACTGTATTTACCTAACAGAAAGACACCAAACGCTGATGGTTTACTCCCTGCAGGGATTTGCTTCCTGTCTGGAGGTCAGAGTGAAGAAGAGGCCTCTGTCCACCTGAACGCCATCAACAACTGCCCTCTGGCCAAGCCCTGGGTCCTGACGTTCTCGTTCGGCCGGGCCCTGCAGGCGTCGGCCCTTAGAGCCTGGAGAGGACACAAGGAGAACGAAAAAACAGCCACGGAGCAGTTTGTTAAGCGAGCAGAGGTACTTTTTCCTGATATGTACTGCACATAAAAACAACTATGATGCCAGGTTTAAGTTGCTGCCTTTTTTTGTGTCGAGTTTATTTATTTTATTCCTCTCAGGTGAACAGTTTGGCATGTCAGGGGAAATACAGCGGCGGTGATAACTACGGCGAAGCCGGCCATCGCATCTTCGGCTCCTGCCATGCTTACTGAACAAAGACATAATTTTTAAGCTTTATGTTTTATTTATTATGCTATATCCCCAGTCAATAGTACAGTAGAGACTTAGACTAGATGAAATAGGCGATGTGTGAATATGTTGAATGAAAACAGCTGACTGTTTTATTGGGATGTTTAATGAAGACAATCAGGAATGTAATCAGGACTTCTCATGTCTGAAGGAAATGTCTACTTCCTCTGCATAATGTGTGTGTAAAGTAATGCAGTGCTCAAACAGTCAATTCTTTAATCCTATGAGAATATTGACCTGATAGCACGGACTACAGTTTACATCAAATGGTGTCAGTTGCTAATTATGTGATCAAACGGATGAATCTCTTCATCCCCTTGTCTGAAAATCTCTATTGCTTCTCTGAGTTGAATGAACCTGCTTTGCTTAGCGTTTAGCACTGGTTGTTCAGAGGTAAAAACAATAACGCCTGGCATTAGCTTTGAGCTAACGAGCCCCTGCGCTCCCTGCTGACCTCTGAATGCATCAGGCTCTCAGTCATAGGAATATGACTCTGTACAATAAACATCAAATGCAATAAAAATGCTTGTCGGTTGAAGTCTGATTTGTTTATGGAATGGCACGTTTTTTGTTGTGAAAGAATAACTCGGTATAATAAGAACGTATTAAACAGGATAGTATGAGATTTAAATAAATTACATTTGTGACATAAATTACATTTGTGAACAGGGGCAGTACTAACCTGTTTGGTGCCCTGAGCAAACAACACACTCAGTCCCCCCCTGCAGGATTTGGGGGTGTCTAACTTAAGGAGAGAAGCAATTAAGGCAGTGAGATAATTTACCACAGTGTCATCAGAGTAAGGTAATACTGGTTATAACAGCATTAGTAATATATATTGGCCCAAATGTTCAGATAGGTGCATCCCTATTTTATCAGCAATAAAATCAATAAAAATAGGCCAATGCAACAGCAGACTAACACCACTTTCCCAACTTAATATGAAGTGATTAGTGGGCACTTATTCTGACATAGTAAGCAGCTAATGATTAACAAAGAAATGGGCCTACATATACTTCCAGTTTGTGAAATATTCAGAATAGGAATCCAAGCAACACTTCTTCTTGTAAATGTCTATTTAACATAGTCTACATGACATCACAAGATCACTGTCATTGGTATGTAAAGCAATTACTAATTTAAAACTAAACTACAATATACTATATATAAATAAATTCAAGTATATACTTATACTTTTACTTATTATATAGACTTAGTTTGATCATAAAGTTTCTCATTTAACATTTTGAAAAAAAAAATATTTTTAGTATATTTATAAATAATGCCGTTTTAATTACCTGTTTTGACTATACACTAAAATACAATTTCTGCAAAATATATTTTAATTCCGATTAAACAGTGAAGAATCCTGGCTAAATTCCTACTGGTACGGAGGAGTTTTCAGTTTGTGACAATCTTTCTTGCTGCCTGTTTGCATAACTGATCATTTGGGAGTGAGCGCCCTCTTGTGTTGAACAGGTGGAACCACAGCACTTCAGATGTGAAGTGGATTATGTGTAAATAGAGAATCTTTAAAACACAGTTAAACATTCATGATATCTTTATCCTATGTGTAAAAACACAGGAAAACAACATTTGTTAAAAGTAAAGTCACTTTTGTTAAAAGTAAAACCACCTTACTGCATCTTCTCAAGTTTGTGGAATCAGAGTTTATTGAGTTGTAAGCAGAAATGAGTTGAAAGCAACTCGAAAAGCTCAGAAAACATCAAGTTATATAAGCCATATGTTATATACTGCTAAACAGACCAGACACCTGTGGTTGTCATGTTTGAATTTAATTTAAAGAGTAAGTAGTTGTTGCATATTAAAACATGACACTACGCATTTTTGTAAAATAAATAAATTGGTACTAAATTGTCTGGACATACTAAAGAAAGAAAACATAAAAGGTTTTCAACTTTTCTCTCCAGCTTACTTGTAAAAGTTAAGATGTGTTTTTGGAAAAACACCTGAAATAAATATAATCAGACCAAAAAAAAAAAAAAGAAGCTTGAATTTACTATCTACTGAACAAATGAGGCAGAAAGGACAATCCTGTCTGATCCCTTTCAGCTTCACCCTTTGTTATCTTCTGAGATGGGTTACTATAATTACTATAGAAATCAAATGTTGTAAAACAAGTTGTATTAAATTAAGGACGTAAAAATTATGATAACATAAAAGTAAGGTCAGTAATGATGTGGTGGTTGAAGAACTACCTAACTAGCTAATTTGGGGACTTCGTATTGAACGTGGTCTGTAGGTAAGACTATATTGTTTTTCACTATTTTGTGTTAATTGTTGAATTACACTTAGTAGCTTTAATTTGTTTTGCCTTAAACAACAATAATAAAAAACATATTTAAAATATATTATTATCAATGTCAAATGCTTTCTGCAAATCTATAACATTTCCTAACACTTTCTTCTTGTCTAAACAATTTGTGATTTCTTTGGTTAACTCCATCAATGCAATTGCTGTTGACCTGTTTGCCCTAAAGCCTTATTGACTATCTATTAACAGATTCTGCTGGCCTATAAATGAAGGTCAACAACAGTATTTAATAGTTTTTTTCTAAACCCATATTATCCAAGTGTAGTATGGGTTACAGTAACATTTAGGTTCCCTTTGGGAGAAGGAAAGTATTTTTGAATTAAATTGAATGTCAAAATGCCCACAATTTTTTCTATAGTTACAGTATTTTAAAGTTTTTGAAAATCTTTCATCATTTTTCTGCTACATCACATAAAATCTGGGAAATAAAATACATCACAGTCTGCGGTAATAGTATGAAAACCTGTGAAAAAATTCAGAGAGTAAGAATGCTTGTGAGAGGTGCTGTAAGTACTGTAGAATCATCCAAGACTTCATATTTCATAAATTAGATAAATTTTTTATGACCTTTTTTATGCATTGCACACAATAAGCCAGTGACGAATTAATTATCTTTATAATTAATTATATTCTTATTCTTATTATTTTCACTTAAATTTAAATCCATCAGACCGTTGACTTTTGTGGTATTTATTTTCACAGGACTAGTTTCTATGGCGGATGTGTCAGGTCTGGCAGAAGTGTGTTTTAATGGGCGTATCACTAAAGAAGCACTGAGAAGTGATCCTCACTTTTTAAGACATTTGTCTTTTCAAGAGATATTAGGCGCGATATTAGGTTTTTCTACACATTTTTCTGATTAGTTTCTCTTTCCATATCCTTGATTTTAGAGTCACTAGGTTTTCTAGGTGTTTTTGGACGCCATAGTTTTGAAGCCTGCAAACAACCCGCCGTCCGTAGTTTTTTTTTTTTTAAAGTTAGCAGCAGCCATGTCGGGTGTTGTGCGAGGCCCCGCTGGGAACAATGATTGCCGAATTTACGTGGGGAATCTCCCGCCGGATATTCGCACCAAAGATGTGGAGGACGTGTTCTACAAGTACGGAACGATCCGAGATATCGACCTAAAGAACCGCAGAGGAGGTCCGCCGTTCGCCTTCATCGAGTTCGAAGACCCGAGGTGAGGCGCTAGCAGCAGCTAGCCGACCGAGCCGTAACCAATGCCATTGTGTTGTCAACGCGTTGATCCTGGGATCCGGCTATTTCCTGGACGTGCATTGTTCTCTTTACCAAACGTGGTTTCGCCTTCATGTGTTTTCACTTGTTCCTAAATTCACAAAGTATACACGGCAGTCCTGTCGCACCACATACTATACTCTGTTATAAATGTTGTTGAAATCGTAACACTTTTCCATACATCTACAGCCTCTCCTAATGCACATCCATACATTTAATTGCGCCATTTTGGCGGCAGTGTAATTTCTGCGCAGCCTCGTGTCAATTTCTTATATTGAATTTCATTATGTGATTTGCGGGTCTCCAACGTGGATTAAGAGACATTAACATGGCGACGACCCGTCCCAAGTATTTAGCATGCAATGCTGTCGGCATCAACGCTCTCAATGGGTTTCATGATATGTTCCTGTTTTCTAATAACAGGGACGCCGACGACGCGGTCTACGGACGTGATGGGTACGACTACGACGGCTACAGACTGCGGGTGGAGTTCCCACGGAGCGGCAGAGGCTCCAGAGGCGGGTATGGGGGCATCGGTGGAGCACCCAGGGGGAGATATGGACCTCCATCCAGGCGCTCAGAGTACCGGGTCGTTGTGTCAGGTAAATGAGCAATACGCTTTGTTGCTTATTGTCTCTTTACTCAGTAAAACACCATGTTAAGGCTTGAATAAAGTACCATTGTGACATTCTGTAACTGGTATATTAAGACCTCCCAGTGGAAAAATACGATTTTGATGAAGTAATCTTTAGTTGGGATACTATTTACAAAAGTGCTATAGTTCAAAATCCAATATAGGTATCTCACATTTTAAAAAACATAGGAAAACTAGCAAGTATAACACAGTAAGTATAATTTCTGAAAGTTTTTTTCTGTGTAAATCAATAATGCACATGGTATTGGACATCCTCATTTCCAAAAATTGTCCCTCAATACTTGAAAGTGTAAAATTAAGAGAAATACAATTTTTTTTTGCTTGTCTTGTAGCTAGTATTAAATGCCAAAAGTGCTGCTATCCAATAAATAACATTGATTTCATGGTGTTATAGTAAGATAAAGCAAAACTTAAATGCATGCAGAGGCAAACGTTTTAAATTAAGCTTTTAAAAACACTTTTTGTTCTGTGTGTTAAGTAAAACCTACTAATTTAATAATTCTTACATATATACAGTGAAATAATTAAAACGGTCAAATAAACCCTAAAGCTGAGTTTATGGTCAGAAATAAAGCCTCAACTTTTTTTTCTGACTTGAAACTACATGATTCTGACTAACACTGAATGCATCACAGGAGCCATGAAAGAGTCCTTTATCTCTCTGCTGGGAGTTGATATGTAGAAGCGATTAAAGTGATTTATGTTGTATATCTATTAGGGCTGTAGTGATACAGTAATCTTACGATACGATACACGATATTCTGTCCACGATACAATACTTATTGCGATATTCATCAGACGATACAATTCAATACACTTTTGCGATTTTCTGAAAGATTTTAGAGGGACAGAGTGATTTTGGTGACTGTTATAGAGTTGGATTGAATTAATTTAACTGAAAACTGATTAAAAGCTCCAACTACACAATTCCTGGCTCTGGTTGGACATGGACACAGACTTAAAGTCGACAGCTGGACAAAAAGAATCAAAGAAGTGGTGAGAAAACATGTTTCTTTTAATTGAAACAGTACAAACTGTAGCTTACATGGATTTATAAAGTAAATAAAGTGCACCAAGTACCCTGCTCTGAATAGTTTGACACCTTTTTAACCTTGACACTTAACATCTGAAGGTATCACTCTAAGCCTGATGACCTAATTACTCTCCCGGCGAAGCAAGCAGTGAGTGAGCAAGGTGACAGTTGGATGTTGCAATACTTGCGGATGAATATCGATTTTTTTTAGGAAAGAAAATATCGATGTATATCGCGATATCGATATTATCCTACAGCCCTAATATCTATGAAAATTGTACATATTGAGTTAATAGAGAGCAGTAACATAATATGAGATCATTTATTTATTTTAAATATTGATTTGGCTTCAATAGTGAAAACGTGTTTCTTTGTAAGGTTAAGGTCTGGTCCAATACCTTAGCTAGACTAAGTCACAAGAATTCAAACATTGTTTTTGGGAGATTTTGCATTTTCTTTTATCACAAATGTAAGCTGGACTCTATGTCAAACAATGTGCATGCGTGGGGTTTTTCCAACTTTCTGCCACAGTCCATAAATGTGACTGTTGGGAGAATTTTCTCCCCAGGTTTCCGTTGGGTATGAGTGTGTGCATGGTTGGTCCTGTGTGTCTCTGGCCTTTAAATGTGAGGCTCAAAATAATCTGTCGCAATTAGTGCTTCAAGTCTAGATGCATGTTGGCGACGGCTGCATAATTTACTGCAGATTTGTCATCCTCACTACATCAGCGTGTGCAGTATCAAATAGAGCAGCTTTACTGTAATAAATATGATGACCTGTAACTGCACTGTCACTCACTGCGTCATATGAAAAGGAGACTTTCTCTGTAGTAGGGCTGTTGTAAATGAATATTTTAGTAATCGGATCAAGTAATCGGATAAAAAAATTTTATATAATAAAATATTGGTAAATCTGGCATAACACCAGTGTTACTACCAGATATGAACGTCAGTCCAATTTTTCATATTTGAGCATCCCTAACGGTTACTTTTTTGTAGTTTAGAAAATTAACCTGTAGCAACAATGGCTCTCTTTCTAAGTTAACCAGAAGAAAAGTTATACAAAGTTATTTGTGTTGACGGAGTATTAGGACCAGGCTATGACAAGTTTTGTTTAATTACAAGAAAAAAGTCATGTTGACAGAATAAAGACACAATTTTACCAGAAGAAAATCTTGAAATTATGTTCAGACGTAATTTTTCTTTGTTTTATGTTGTTCATGTTGTAGTTCATAAAATTTACTGCTGCATGTTCCTGCTACTTTGACTATATTATAGTAGCAGTAGCACCACTTGGTGTGGTGGGGAAAAACAATCCAGATTTTCCAAAAAATTCAATCTTCAAAAACCAAAAATTAGTTTTTGATCATTGAACAGGCACCTTGTCTAGGTGCACTAGCCTCTCAAAAATATGTTTTATCACAATAAAAATATTCCAGTCTTCACTGTTGTACCTTTTCTAAGTTGGACCCTTGCGTGTCGTCCTTGTGTCCAGGTCTTCCTCAGAGCGGCAGCTGGCAGGACCTGAAGGACCACATGCGCGAGGCGGGCGACGTGTGCTACGCCGACGTTTACAGGGACGGAACCGGAGTTGTAGAGTTTGTGCGCAAAGAGGACATGACCTATGCCGTCCGAAAGCTGGACAACACCAAATTCCGCTCCCATGAGGTATGTGTACGGGGTTTTGATGATCTGTCATGGATATTGATGATTCTTTGCCGCGTCGCGGTGAGTATTGTAACGAAGTGTTCCTTTAGTCGCACGCCGACACCCAGCCCTTATCGTTGCCCGTCTGTAACTTCGGCCAGAGGCAGGAATGTTGCCTTTTCAATGTCAAGTTCTCTTGTGTCCGCCAGGGAGAGACTGCTTACATTCGTGTGAAATTAGACGGTCCCCGCAGCCCGAGTTACGGACGATCACGCTCCCGCAGCCGTGGCAGCAGAAGCCGGAGCCGCAGTCGCAGCGCCAGCCGCAGCCGCAGCAATTCCCGAGGCCGTGGCCGAGGATCTCCCCGCTACTCGCCCCGTCACAGCCGCTCTCGTTCCCGCTCTTAAACCTTTGCCGCCATCAATGGTTTATTTTTTTGTTTTGTTTTGTTTTCCTCCCCTCCCTCCTCCACCTTCTGATGTATTCCCTCCTGTTTTTTACCTCTAAGTTTCTCCAGATGTCAGCTATTGATTTTTAAATTTTTTTTGCATTTCTTGTCCTGGTGTCCTTGTGGATGATCTTGGTGTGTATGTGTACCCTCCTCTCTCTCTCTCCTCTCTCTCTCTGCTTTTCCTCCTTTCGTTTTCTCCTTCTCTCCCCTTCTTTACGTCATCTCAGATTTTGAACATTACAAGATGTGCTGTGGTGAAACTTCAAAAATGTTGAGTTGTGACAGCCGCACTCAATGTTTTTGGAAGTGTTAATCTGAATTTTTTTTTGTTTTTTAAAAATTTTACTAGCTTCTCTTTGGATAAATGTGGGGTGGGCTGTATTTTTTTTAAATTTTTTTTTGAAGCCCGATACTTAACTGTATTTTACCCTTGTGTCTTCCTTTAGACATCTGAGGAGAAGGATTAAAGTGATTTGGAATAAAACCATTGTGGAGCACATTTCATTTGTATGGTCAGGATACAAATAGGACATCTAGGAGGAGGATAGGACATCTAGGACCAATCAGGTCGAGGCAATGGTATGCTTCATATTCCATAAACTGAACATTTTGACAGGTTGCCATGTTATGCATGTTATTTAACAAAGATATGTGTTACTGTACTTTGTTAAGACAGTCTGTAACATGCTACTCTGGTTTCTGACAGAATAAGCAGTCCTAAATCAAGTGTTGCGATGTAAGTGTAATCCTTGCTGTCAAATGTAAAGAAAAAAAACAAACAAAAACTGCTTTGTATTAAAAGCGTCCCAGTTTTGAGCATCCTCATTGGTTAAAAAAATGCTTTGAAGTCAGGAATTTTGAAAGTTTTTTTTTTTTCTTTAGTCTTTTTGAGTGTTCAGTGGAAAAAAAAAAAAGGCCCAAAACTCTTGACATTTTATTCTAACGGTCTGCCTCTGATTTTCTTCCTGGTATTTCAAGGTTTTGATTGGAGGAGTGGCTCAATGGATCCCAATCCTTGGAGCTGGATGAGTGGATCGATTAGGGAAGGGATAGGCAAGGATGGATGCTCGGGAACGGGAGCAGAGTTTCCAGGATTCAAATTTATCAGAACAAAAATAATGGGAGTCCCAGAGCACCTTTTTTTTTTTTTTTTTTTTTTCCCCTTTTTGGTTTAGGCCCCAATGGCTTTAATATAGAAGAAAACGAAACAGAGGACCAGGAAGTTGGATCAAAGGATGGAGTCGTAGATGTCCGGTATGAGGGAATTTAAAAAAAAATATGGGGAGGTTGGGAGAGGGTTAAAATCTGGGAAAAGTTTGTAATTTTTTTGCTTTGCATAATCTTTCTTTTAGCATTTTCAATAAACACACTTTCAAACATATTTATGGAGTTTGTTTTTATTTGCAGTTTGGTCAAATGTGCATCAAAAAGCTAATTTTCAAATTGGAGCTGTTTTGATTTCTCTAACTTGTTTAACTTTGGAAAACAGCCATTTGTGTAAAATTTAATTTGTAGATTTTTGTTTTCCTCAACACACTAATGATTCAATTTCTTAATTTTTTGACATCCAATTGTCACAATAAAAAAAGTGATGACTATTGTTTGCTGCACCTTGCTGATCTAATATCTGTCTTGTGAAGCTTCTAGATTTGAGATGAACGTAAACTGATGCAGTATTTTTTTTTCTAAAGTTAATGAGTTGTGATCTGCTAAAATTCAGTCTCAAAGCCCAGACAATCAGAAACGGCATCTTTCAGTGATTCTAAATGACTGGTTGAAGTAAATGCATAAAACTCAACCTTAAACAATAAGTGAAGGTTTTTTTGTTTTTTGTTTTTTGTTTTTTTCTTGACGTAATGCTAAAGATAGCCTATACTGTGTTCCTGGAGTGTTTTAAAACTTTACATTGAGGTTTGGTGGCTTAATTAAAATACAGAAACACATGTTGAGGGGAGCTGTAACTACTGCCAGTAAACCTCTGGGTATCAATCTGCCTAATAAACTTTATTGTTAAAACCACTATATGTACAGGACAAATAACTGAAAAGATAATTTCCTTAAGTCTCTGGTGCAAACAGCAGTTCACAAAATATATGTAGAAAAAACACCACCTCTTAAAGATATAAATGTAGTAAATAATATATAAATAAATAATGTAACAATTGAGAAGCATTCTATACAGACAGATCTTCCAATATTAGTGAGTTTTTGAATGACTAGACATTTGCAATGCAAGTTCAGTTTGCCCAATGAACAGACTTAGCTGATTAAAAGTTATATTTTCTTTTTTTAACTACTACTCCCAGGTAAGAGTCATTACTTCCCAGCCCTCTCAAAAATAAACCAAAACAGTAATTTTTTTTAGCAAACGCAATTCATTTCCTATGCATTAAAGCAACATATTGAAATACTTTATCAGGCCAGAACTGTAAAACATCTCATTTAGTTATGAAGTTTTTCCCTGAATTTTGATGACGTATTACTGAAGAATTGTATTCTTACCCTGACACATTCATGTGTGAAAGTTTTATTCTGCTGGTGACATACCTTTGCTAATTTCAAAATAAAAAACAGGATGTCAATCACAGCCCTACTGACATGACTGTAAGAAATTAATCGCATTATAGATTAAAATGAGCTCGATAATCTACATTTAAGTGATACGGAATGTTTATTTATGGTTTCTGTTTTGTTGTTCTCAATTCCGTTTCATTTGTCGTTTTTTGTTGTGCCTTATTTTTGGGCTATTTTAACATATCTTCCAGTTCCAGCGGTAAGTGTTCTACAAAATTAAAGTGTATTGGTTTTTGAGGGCGAACTTCCATTATTATGCAATTACCAATACACTGCTTTAAAATAGGGTCGAAAACAAAACAATTATTATTGTCTCTGGGACAATGTATCGTCCAGCAAAAATGTTTTTTGGTTATCGTGACAGGCCGACGTTTTCAAAGAGCCCCAGCTGTGACTCTGCTGTAAAGCCAAACGATACCTTCCAGCAAGCGGAGGTCCAATTTCCACTTTATCCTCCAGTCGGTGGCGTATGCTGTGAATGATGCATTGTGGGATGAAATAAGATGCCGGCAGAGAGGAGCTGGAGAAAAACGCTCGCGCCGCGCGAGGAGGCAGCGCCGCAGCCAATGGCAGGGCGCGGCATGCAGCAGAGAGGGGCGGGGATGGGGGAGAGCCGCCGCGGACAGCAGCACAGCGCAGAGCCAACCTACCTTCATGCTTATTGTGTAAATCTTTAAAAAGCAATTAGCCGCAGCATCATCTTAACCTTCCTTCACCGGCTCGTTTAAAATCCACATTTCTGAACGGAGGACCCTCCTTCCACCTCACAGGCGCAGGAAAAGGTGAGTTGCACCGCCCTGATCTAGAAGATTCATTCACTCTCAAGGTTTGGCATATTTAGGATTCTTGTTGTGATGATGTGCTTTTTTTTTTTTTAACTGTACGCGTTCATGCATGCTTGAGGGCTTATTCTAAAAAGACTTGAACTGGTTTATTTTCTAAACAGTCTGCTACGCTGGGGTAAAAAAAGACACATTTTCATAATTGTTGCAGTTCTGATGCAAATGCATTTATAGGAAAGTAATTTAACTCTTCCTGTATCAAGTTTCACTGTAAATTTCTGCAAAACTAAACATCCTGTTTGGTTAAAAAACAACAACAAACAAACAACAACAAAAAAAAAAACCCTAAACAAACAAAACAAAAAAACCTCCAGAAGCCCCAAGTAGAAAATCGAAACGAAGCGATCAGCTGGAAAAGCCGCTGTGCAGAATGGCTTTTACGTTCTGCGTGTGACTGGAGAAATTGCGATGATCTGGCTGGCCTACAAGCCATCTTCAAGCCCTCATCCCCACCACGTGCAGTGACATTATTATTATTATTATTATTATATTTTATATTTCTGTTTCCCTCCTCAGCACGCAGCCTGAACCATGACCGACAGGAAAGCGGTTATCAAGAACGCGGACATGTCCGAGGACATGCAGCAGGACGCCGTGGACTGTGCCACCCAGGCCATGGAGAAGTACAACATAGAGAAGGACATTGCTGCCTACATCAAGAAGGTGAGCCAGGATGGAACCAGGCGTGTTTTACATTCATTGGAGTTATCAGAAGTGTTTCCGTACAACCTGGAAATGAATACTAAGAACTTGGGAATTTTTTTTCCATATTTTTTATTTTTTACAATCTGCCATGTTGAATGTCTCCAATATTCCAATCGCAAAAGTTTAAACCTGTCCTCATTGGGCAAAAAAGGTAGAACTCCCCAAAGGGATGGTCCAATTTGGACATAATTTGGTCCACATTCAGATGAGCAGAGTATTTAGCTGATTCAATTTGCAAAGCGGTGGCTGAAGAGTAGAGTAAGCACTGGAGGGGATAAGTGTTGGCATCGAGCTTAGCGCTAGTGTGCTATCAGGCGGTTGCTGGAGCATCTAGCAATCGGTGAGTCAAATAAGTGAGTGAAAGTCTTCAGACACTAGCGTACTAGCTGCGATTCCATTTCAAACATCTGTAAAATTTGTCAATTTTCCCCTAGTGACGAAAAAACTGCACAATTTCACAGTTGAATTTCCGTTGAATTAAAAAAAAGCAATAAGAATCACATGTAAATAAGTTTGTTCCACTTCCTGTCATTTTCCTTCCACTTCTTATTGTCTTCCTTCCACTTCCTGTCGTCTTCTTCGTCATTTCTGCCAGTAGTGTAGATGTGGTGTGGTACGAAAAAAATGTTTCCATCGCAGTTTTGCTGAAATACGCTAATTCTGATATGACTGGAAAAACCATCTCATCTTAGCACAAAAACCTTTCATCAAATTTGTGTTTCTCCAAAACTGTGTTTCCATTGAGTAAATTTATTTTTGTAATTCCAATTTGCGCAATTATACAGCCAATGGAAGCGCAGCTATTAATCCAGCTGGCAGAATTACCAGGCGCAGGTCGGTTTAGTAACCTCGTGTGGGAAACAAAATAGTTTTATGTCTAACAAGAATATATCACATGAGCTCAACCTTTTAGTATTCCTTGTTGGTGTCCTGCTTTTCATAGAACAACACTGGGAGCAACGTGCAGCAACAGGTAGAGGAGTAACCGTGTTGCACAGTGCGCTGGTAGAACCTCTGGTCGTCAAAGAAACATTGCATTCTTCCATCTGTAACCCTTCAAACTCTTGGTATACTTAATGACTTTTCATGCTTAAGTTTCCATTGAGTAGCAATTTGAGTATGTGGGATGTGTATAGATGGCAATGGGTACATCAGCACACACAAAACTTTGACAAGTCCACTCTCTGTTCAGGATAGCTGCATGATTTAATGATCTATTCAGACAGACCTAAATTTTGATCGCTATCAAATTTTGAGCAAGTGCTGTCTTAATTTGATCTGTCTCAGGCAGCCTGTGTGTCTGCTGACCTTCATCACCGTCTTGTCTGTCGAATGCTCTGCTGTAAGCATGTAGCAGTAATGCGCCGTTCCTTATGCCTGACATTTTGGCCCTCTCAATATTCAATTATGATTGTCTGCGTGGGTGCTAAGTTATGTTCAGACTATTCCTTCTGGGAGCTTAACTTTTTTTTTTTTTTCCACTTTTTGAGTTTTATGGTAAAGTTAGGAAAACAGTGGAAAGTGGACAAAAAATCCCAATGTTAAAAGAAAATCATAGTGAAATCTTTTTGAAAACAGCAACAGCAACAACGAGTTAACTGGAAGGAATGTAAGCTTGAGTTTAGCTGTAATTGAGAGAAATGCCATATCATTTTTATGTCTGCTCATACTTTTGTATGTAAAGCGCACACAAAAGTGTTTTGTTTTTGTTTTTACACTGCAAAGGTCTGCAACCTTTGCACTTAAAGTGAATTTAGCTAAAGGGATTTGTTTAGAATATTAAAATGTCCTTGACTCTTTACAGATGGAATCAATTTTATCTCGACTTGAAGTGGGTGGTGGGGGGGGAGTATTTAGCCCTTTAAAAGACTGCTCTTGTTTTCTTGTTTCAGATCAAACAGAGTTTTATATTAGATTAAAAACAAACTGTCACTGGAAAATGCTGCTTCAAATAATAACTTTATATAATCTTTTCGTTTAATTTTACTTTTCATAGCTGCCTGGCCTGTAAAATCCGCTACAAAAATGACTCCAAAAGTGCATCGACTGCTCATCCAGGAGGTCAGAAATGAATCCAGAGCAACATTTATATCACTATAGGCCTCACTCTTAGTTAAAGTCAAAGTTCAGGAAAGTAGAGTATTACATCTGGGATAAAAATATCTGGTGAAAGCTGGATGAAATACTTCAATGGCGTTCAGTCAAAGTCTAAATTTACATGCAGTGTGTGTCTGTGCTGGAAAAAACTCACCGCCATTTATCAAAAATGGTTGTTGCCATCAGAAGTGGCAGATTGAAGGAGCAATTACTTTTTCACATAGGGCCAGGTTTGTTTCCTTTGCTTATTTTTTAACCTTTATAAATAAAATAATCCTTTTAAAGTCGCGTTTCGTTTTTCCTGTAAAGTTTCTCTGATGTAAATACAAAATTTTAAGCATTACAAAAAAGAGATATCTATAAGCAGCTAAATACTTATTCTAAATATTAAATTAGTTCATTGACTACCTGAGAAACAACTTACCATTCAGAAAAACTTTATCCGCATCATCGGTGGCTATGCTAACTAGTCTTAGCTAAGTTGTGTGAGTAAAGGGGGGTGAGTACGAATGATTGACAACACTAAGACCCTCCTCCTGACTCTGATTGGTTGTTTCTGACTGAGTGGCATATTTTTTATGATACTGTCGCATAATGATCATAATGAACATAATGATCATTTAAACAAATGTGTGTGTGTGTGTGTGTATATATATATATATATATATATATATATATATATATATATATATATATATATATAGCAATTTATTTAACAAAAGTTACATGCTTCAGCTTTAATGCAAAATATTGTCAAAAAAAGAAGGTTCCTTCCTCCAATTTAATGCAATCTTGTGTGTGTGTGTGTGTGTGTGTGTGTGTGTGTGTGT